CACACACACACACACACACACACACAGCCGTTTACAGGCTGGTTGTTAAATCTGCATTTAATGTTTATCAAATAAAATTAAAGTTAATAAACTTAAAATCAATTTGTCTCGCGAGAGTTGTGACCCCCCCCCGTTCGGCGGTAAACTGCGCAGCATTCGGCTAATGGACGGTTAGCATGAGTGGCTAACGCTAATACTAACTTCAGCATTTAAAAACACAACAAACACATTTTAACACAAATATAATAGAAACAAATAGTTGGTATAGAAATATAGAGTTTATAGAATATAGAAACATATAGTTGATCCTCTTTTATTTCACCACGTCGCGGTGATTCACAGTTAGCTTTAGCATCGGGAGCTAACCCCCCGGAGGCCCCGCGGATCCCCGGCCTACCGTAAGCGTAGATGCCGCGGAGCAGGTCCTCCCGGAGCCCCATGGTGTCGAAGGTGGGGGTGACGTCCACCTCCTCGCTGGTCTCAAACTCCACCTTGGTCATGTCCTCCTCCCTCAGGAGCCTCTTCCTGCCCTGTGCTCCGGCCGCTGCCATCGTCCTCACAGCTTCTATCCGGTCAAACTCACCAAAAAACGGTTAAAAGTTCCGCGTTGCTCCGCTCGGCTAGCTGCTAACTGCTAACGGCTACACACGGGAGAGAAAGAGCGCCGCACGTGTCGCGCCGTTGACGTAGCCTGGAATGCGACGCGGCATACGACGTCACATCCAGGAAGTAGATCCACAGCATAAACACACAAAAGATAACTTGTTTTCTAAAAGTGTTTATATTTTACTATTTAATACCTGAAGTGTGCAGTATCAATTATTGACTCATTATCATTAATCAGATTCATTGATTGATGACAGTCAGTGACAGTGGGGGGGGGTCAGCCTCAGGGTCCTACAGCTGCTGGAGGGATGATCCCTCTCTCAGCAGACAGAATGACAGCTGCAGTCTGTCTTTGTCCTCGGCAGTGGCAGCGTACCATGTGGTGATGGAAGAGGTGAGGATGGACTCCATGATGGAGGTGTAGAAGTGCACCATCATCGTCTTTGGTAGGTTGAACTTCCTCAGCTGCAGCAGGAAGTTCATCCTCTGCTGTCTCAGAGAGGGAGCTGATGTTCAGCCACTTGAGGTCCTGGGTGATGATGGTACGCAGGAAGAGGAAGGACTCCACAGAGTCCACAGAGTCCACAGAGTCCACTGGGGAGTCACACAGGATGATGGGGGCGGGTCCCAACCAAAGTCCACAACCATCTCCACTGTTTTTAGAGCGTTTAGCTCCAGGTTGTTGTGGCTGTATGGAGGACTGAAAGTGCCACAATTAAATAAATAAATACACCATTAAATAATGACTTAAATGTGTCATTAATTCATTCAAATACAGATTCATGTAATGTAAAATACATATATAATTATTTCACTGTTTACATTTACATTTCATGGTCCTGTGTTGCAGTGCTTCATTCAATTCAAGTCAATTCAGTTTTATTTGTATAGCACCAATTCATAACAGAAGTTATCTCAGGACACTTTTCAAATAGAGCAGGTCTAGACCGAACTCTTTAACATTAATTACAGAGACCCAACAGTACCACCATGAGCAAGACCTTGGAGACAAGGGCAAGGGAAACACTGCCTGTTAAAAGGCAGAAACCTAGGACAGATCCTCCGGCTCTAGGTGGGTGGTGTCTTGTCTCGTTTGGTTGGGTGAGGGAGAGAGAGAGAGAGAGAGAGAGAGAGAGAGAGAGAGAGAGAGAGAGAGAGACAGACAGACAGACAGACAGACAGACAGACAGGTGCACAGCAACAACAGTATTGGCAATGGCAATCCAGCAGGACCATGGCAGGAGGCTCCACCAGGATCGATAAGAACCTGTGAGACGATGAATGCATGAATTACTTAAAACTGTCAAACTCACCCATCAAACTCAGTGGGGGGGGGCCAACGCGAATCTAGCCAGATCCATTGCTTTGGTCTGAAGTAGAGTGCCTGGAAGATCTTCATGAACTTTCTAGGGCAGAGGTGTCTAACAGGCGAGTCTGGACCCAGACACCATCCTATGCGGACCCAGACCTATAATCAATTCATTATTGAGGATTCTAAATTTTGATGGGGAGCTTCTATTTTAACCAGCACAGCTTTTTTGGTCTTTACTATATTTGTTTATTGGATCAGGAAGCTCACAGACCAATCGCATGCTAGTTAAGCCATCCCACGTGATGCTGCTCAGCCAATCAAATCTGTTTAAACAGCGCGACTGAATACAGAGATGAGAGCAATGAGAGAGGAGAGACAGACAGAAAGAGAAGTCACAGATACATGGAGAGGAAACGGAGAGATGAGTGAGCGAGAGACAACAGAAGATTTATGGTGCTCTCTAAGAAGAGAAAAGTGGATAGAAAATCGAGCTTTTAATGGACAGATTCATTCACATTCATTCTTCCCACTGGGAGCACATAACCAGTGTGTCTCATGTTCAGAGACCGCGGCGCTGATTAAAAGTGCCAGTGTGAAACGCCACTATGAGACAAAACACAAAGTTTTCATTAAACATACCCACTCAAGTCTGAACAAGGTCACAGAAAATAAGCAGGCTCCGATCCCAATATGATCAGTCAACCAGTATCCTGACCAGTGTTGGGAGTAACGGCGTTTAAGTATAACGGCGTTACTAACAGCGTTATTTTTTCAGTAACGGAGTAATCTAATTAAGTACTTTTCCCATCGTTGTAACGCCGTTACCGTTACTGAGAATGTAAAGTGGCGTGTTACTTGCGTTACTACAATGTGGTTGAATGAAGCGCAGCGGTGTCAGGCTTTCTGACAGCCACACATCAGCTGCCAGCAGAGGGCAGGGTGGTGATGATGATTGGCTGGGTGGGCGGATGCCCTGCTCACGCTGTCTCACTGCACGCTGTCTCACTGCACGCTCTCACTACTACTATAAACACAGGACAGAGACAATGGCGACGAGCCAGGGAAATTCAAAGCTAGCGATATCAAACTGGAAGTACCGACACTACTACTCGCTTACTGAAGTTAAAGGCAAGAATGTTTATGTAACGTGTGAATTTTATTTTCAATATTTATTTTGTATATATTTTTATTTCTATGCATATGGCCGGCTGCAATCTATTGAGTTCAAATAAATACCAAATGTTGTAGAATACTGTATATAGTGTTTGTATTCTTTATTCAGTGATTATAAACATCTTTAACGTTATAGAAGATGTTACAGAACGTAATTATAGACCATAAAAAATAACGTCACAGTTACTTTGCTGAGTAACTAATTACTTTTACAATGTGGTAACTGAGTTACTAACTCAGTTAATTTTTGGGAAAAGTAATTTGTAACTATAACTAATTACTTTTTTAAAGTAAGATGACCAACACTGATCCTGACCCATTCATTCACTGCCCAACGAGGGAGAGAGGTTAGAGCTCAATTCTCTCACTGAACAACAGAAAGTGTGTAGAAAGATATAAAAGGGAAAGAAAGAGAAACTGTTCAATTGTAAAGATGTGTTGATATTCATTTATAAAATTTGTTGAGACTGTGAATCAAGATATGAAACAGTTAACAAAGAAAAAGGGAAACTCAAGCTGCTGCTACACTTTATTGTTCAAAGTTAAACACTTTATTTTATTTTGTAGACTTAGCAGAGGATGTGGAAGCAGGAGCTGCTGACCCAGAGCATGTAGCGAGTAAAGCAGAGGCACATATTGAAGTTCTTGGAGTTATTTCCGCACTTTCTGACCGAGATATTGACCACAGAGTGACTGCAGATTTAGAAGAAGTAGTCCAATAGCGCCACCCAGTGTATTGGAATGTGTTCACTAGCTCTGCATCGATCCATTATCTGGAATTGATTTGTCCTGGCTTGATGCGCAGGGTAACCAATGAGGCGTTAGGTTCCGCCTACCAACTTTTGATGGGTGAGTTTGACAGTTTTAAGTAATTCATGAAGCACTGCAACACAGGACCATGAAATGTAAATGTAAATAGTGAAATAATTATATATGTATTTTACATTAAATGAATCGGTATTTGAATTAATTAATGACACATTTAATATCACATTTATGTATTTAATTCCAATTTTAATTAATTAATGACACATTTAAGTAATTATTTAATGGTGTATTTATTTATTTAATTGTGGCACTTTCAGTCTTCCATATGGCTGCACCAGGTCACCAGATGGTCAATCTCCCATCTGTAGGCGGACTCATCTCCACCGGAGAGGAGCCCAATGAGGGAGGTGTCATCTGCAAACTTCAGGAGCCTGACGGACTGGTGACTGGAGGTGCAGCCGTTGGTGTACAGGGAGAAGAGCAGAGGAGAAAGAACGAAGCCTTGGGGGGATCTGGTTCTGATGGTCTGGGAGTCAGAGACACTTTTCCCCAGCTTCACCTGCTGCTTCCTGTCAGACAGGAAGTCTGTGATCCACCTGCAGGTCACAGTGAGCTGGGAGAGTGAGCTTTCTTATTAAAAACTTCATAGAAATGAATGTTTATGAAGCCCGTTGCTAAGGGTGTGATAGAAAAGATCCTGTGAGACATTATAAAGAGGAACTTTACTATCACAGTCGTTATTTGGATATGTCACAATTGTTGATTGATCTTTTATTTACAGTGTAAACACATCAACTGGAACACTGGTTCTCAACCAGGGGTCCCTCAGGGGTCCCTCAGGGTATTTCTTTATATATTATTTTAATCTGCTATAATATTCAGTGATACTGACTGAAAAAATGAACCAATGAAGTTCTTTAACTTACAATACTGAGTTAGTTATTTTCAATGTGAACAGTTAAGGAGTTCAAATAACTTATTGATCTGAACACAAACTGTTTTAGAATATCAGGATAAGAAATCTGTCAGAAAGTCTCATTGTTCATAAAAATACAGAGAATGGATCAATATCTGTGATCAGTATTGACAATAATCAAACTGCTGAGCGCCTCCTGGTGGCTGAACATCACAATGACACATGTGCTCTCCAAGTCTTTTTATTGACTGATTATTGATCGATTTGTCTGCTGAATAGAAACATATGTACAAGAATGACCTGCAGAGGTCAGAGGTCAAAGGTCCAACCTGTTTCAGTTTGTGTTTATAAAATACAGTCAGGTTTATAAAAGGTTCGGGTCCGGAGTCCAACCAGGTCCTGCAGATCCAACAGACTGGAGTCACTGAACTCATCATTACGGCTTCAGATGGCGAGTGTCCTTAAACGCACCACCAGTACACACTGTACATACTGCTGTACAAATACATGATATATCTGTAATCCTCTCATCGATTATTGATCAGCTGATAACTACAT